AGATGGTTTTCATTGTGTTGAGATCCTTTCTTTCTATACCTAATTTGTTGAGAGACTTTCTCATGAAAGGATGTTGAAGAAAAAGCATTTGACAAAATTCATCTATTAAGATAATCATATGATTTTTGTCCTTGATTTTGTTGATGTGGTGTATTATATTTACTGACTTGTGCATGTTGAACCATCCTTGCATCTCTGAGATGAATCCCACTTGATCATGGTATATAATTTTTTTGATGTGTTGCTATATTCTTTTTTTTTTTCAAAAAGATGACCGGTAAGGGGATCTTAACCCTTGACTTGGTGTTGTCAGCACCACGCTCACCCAGTAAGCCAACCGGCCATCCCTATATGGGATCCGAACCCGTGGCCTTGGTGTTATCAGCACCACACTCTCCCGAGTGAGCCACAGGCCGGCCCGATGTGTTGCTATATTCTGATTGCTAGTATTTTACTAAGGACTTTTGCATCCATGCTCATCAGAAATGTTGGTCTACAGCTTTTTTGTTGTTGTTGTTGTATCCTGTCTGGCTTTGGTATCAAGGTTATGCTGGCCTCAGAATGAGTTTGGAAGAGTGGCCTGTGTTTCAATTTTTTAGAATAGTTTAAAGAGAACTGATATTAATTCCTTTCTAAAGGTTTGGTAGAATTCAGCAGTAAAGGCATGTAGTCCTGGGCTTTTCTTTATTGGGAGATTGCTAATTACAGCTTCAGTCTTATTGCTTGTTATCTGTCTGTTCAGGTTTTCTACTTCTTCTTGGTTCAGTCTTGGTAGATTGTATATGCCCAGAAATTTACTCATTTCCTCCAGGTTTTCAAATTTGTTGGCATATACTTGTTTGTAATAGCCTCTAATAATTTTTTGTATTTCTGTGATAAGTGTTGTAATGTCTCCTTTTTCATTTCTGATTTCTGTAATTTAGGTCTCTCTTTTTCTTTTTTAATTAGCCTAGTTAATGGTTCGTCTATTTTGTTTGTCTTCCCAAAAAAACAACTTTTTGTTTCATCTTATGTATTTTGGGGGGGTTTCTATTATCATTTAGTTCTGCTCTAATTTAATTATTTCTTTCCATCTACTAACTTTGGGATTGGACTGTTCTTTCTTTCTAGTTCTTTTAGGTGTAGGGTTAGGCTGTTTACTTGAAATCTTTCTATTTTTTTGAATAAACTTATTGCTATAAACTTCCCTCTTAATACTGCTTTTGCAGTAGCCCACAGGTTTTAATATGATATGTCTAAATTTTCTAGAAATTTTTTGATTTCCTTCTTATTGCTTCTTGGACCCATAGGTCATTTGGGAGCCTGTTGTTTAGTTTCCATGTATTTGTATAGAGTCTTGAGTTTCACCTCTTAATTTCTAGTTCTAATCCAATGTGGTCTAAAAAGATAGTTGAGATGATTTCAGTTTTTTTGAAGTTGTTGAGACTTCATTTGTGACCTAACATATGGTCTCTCTTGGAGAATGTTCTGTGTGCTGATGAGAAGAATGTATATTCTGTAGTTGTTGGGATGAAATATTCCATGGATATCTGTGAGGTACAATTAAATCCTGTGTTTCTCTGTTGATTTGTTGCCTGGATGATCTGTCCAATGATGAGAGGTGGGTGCTCAGGTCCCCCACTATTATCATATTGGGGTCTTTCTTTCTTTAGGTCTAATAGTATTTGCTTTATATATCTGGATGCTCCAGTGTTGGGTGCTTATATATTTATGACTGTTATGTCTTCTTGCTGGATAGATCACTTTATCATTATATGGTGGCTTCCTTTGTCTCTTTTTATGGTTTTTGGTTTAAAGTCTATTTTATCCATTATAAAAATAGTCCTACTCATTTTTTTGTTTCCATTGTGTGGTGTATCTTTTTCCATACCTTCACTACTAATCAGTGTGCATCTTTACTGGTGAGTTGAGTCTCTTGAAGACAGCATATAGTTGGGTCTTGCTTTTTGATCCAATCTGCCAGTCTGTGTCTTTCGAGTGTGGAGTTTAGCCTATTTACATTTAGGGATGTTATTGAGAGGCACTGTCTTAGTCCTGGCATTTTATGGCTTTTTGTTTAGATGTTCTAAGTGTTATTTGTTCCTTTCTTCTTCTTTGATTATTGGTCTTCAAAGTTTGTGGTGTGTTTTTGAGGTGGTAAGATTTAGTTTATCTTTCTCATTTGCATTTGTGTTTTACTAGTGGGCTTTGTTCTTACTTGTGTATTCATGGTAATGATTATTGTTTTCCATATTCCAGATGGAGGATTTCTTGAAGGGCTGGTCATGTGGTGATGAACTTCCACAATTTTTGTTTGTCTGAGAAATACACCATTTTTCTCTTATTTATGAAGGATAGCATTGCTGGGTATAATATTCTTGGCTGGCAGTTTTCTCTTTTAGTATTTTGAATATGTAATCCCATTTTCTTCTGGCTTGCAGAGTTTCAGTTGAGAAGTCTGCTGCTAGTCTGATGGGCACTCCCTTATAAGTGACCTGAAACTTTTCTCTTGCTGCTTTTAGGATTCTCTCTTTTTCTCTGAGTTTTGCCAGTATGACTACAATGTGTCTCAGAGAGGATATTTTTTGATTGAATCTGTTTCAGGATCTTTGAGCTTCCTGGATCTGAAGGTCTGTGTCTCTCCCTAAACCTGGTAAGTTTTCCATTATTATTTCATTGAATAGATTTTCAATGCCTTTCCCTTTTCTTCCCCTTCAGAAACACCCATGATTCAGATGTTTGTGTGCTTAATATTGTCTGCTTGCTCTCTTAGACATTCTTTATTTTTTAAAATTCTTTTTTCCTTTTCTTTTTTTGTTTGCCTGGGTTGTTCCATAAAGACCATCTTTGAATTTTGCAATTCTTTCTTCTACTTATTCTAATCTGCTGCTTAAGCTCTCAGTTGTGTTTTCTATTTCACTGAATGCGTCTTTCAGTTCCAGGTGTTCCCACTACATTCTTTTTTATAGTATTAAAAAAATGTAAATTTTTTAAAATTTACATTTTTAATATAAATTAAAATCTCTTTGTAAATTTCCACCTTCATATCCTGGATATTTTTTTCTCATTTCATTGTGCTTTCTTACAGAGTCCTCTCTTATCTCATTGAGTTTCCATAAGACAGCTACTTGGAATTCCTTTTCAGTTATTTCAAGAGTTTTCTGTTCTATAGGGTTTGGTACTTGAGAGTTACTGAATTCCTCTGATAGTGTCATATTTTCTGATTTTTTTCATATTTTGAGTATCTCTACATTAATTTCTGGTCATCTGGTAGATTAGTTGCTACTTCTATTACTCTGGTGTGAACTTTAAGGAGAAAGACTTCTTTCTCTTTTTCCAGGCTCCTCCAGTGACTCTCCTTGTGTCAATGAAGTCAAATATGTGGTGGGCCATCTGCTCAGTGGTTGTAGATGTTACAAGGCAGTAAGCCGTACTTGCAACAGTAGTAGCTGTGGTAGTGGCTGTTATGACCCACCTCCATGGAAGTTGTACGAGGCCTTGTGGCAAAGGCACAGGGTCTTGCCTTTTGTGTGGGTAGGTGGGGATGGGAGGTGGACGGCTGGGTCTCCTGCCTATCTGGTGCCTCCCTTGGCGGCAGCATCATGGTGCAGGGGTCTTGCCTTCTGTGTGGGTGAGGCAGGAGGCTGAGCCTCTATCTCCATTTAGATGGAACTATTTGAGAGCAGGAACCGTGTCATTTACACTGGTACACACAATAAATGTTAGTGAATGAATGAAAGGCCATGTTCAATACAGAGGGTGGGCATCACATAAAGAGTAGAGCCACTCTTTGTGTCATTTATTTAAAACTTATCAATGAACAGTGAGCAAAACGTATCCTAGAACCCAAAAGGAAAAAAAGCAGCAAAGGAGATGGGAACAGTGTTCCCCCAGGATGCTCTGTTTCACACTTTCAAAAGGTATAGACCCACTCGTATGAAAACATCAGCTTGGGCACTTCTCAAGCCACATGCACAAACAGGAAAATGTTGTACTGCCTCTGAACCTACCTGTCAAGCTGATTCTCTTCTGCTGCTGGCACCCTCAACTGATGCCAGCAGCTCCCAAAGCACAGTGAGTGGATCCTAAAAGCCTGTTTGATCAAGGCTAATTTTCTAAGTAATCTCACTACTTTTGTGGGGGGAAGGTGTAGGGGAAGTGGCCAGCACAGGTATCTAAACTGTGACCTTTGTGTTACCAGGCTGAGCTCTAACCAACTGACCTAACCAGCCAGCCTTGAAATCTCACTACTTTTGTTCTCCCTTTGTTGACTTAGAATAAGGATGGCAGGGTTGGCCATTCCCACCATGCAGATCTCCAGGAATTGAACTACCTAATTCTTTCAACTAGCCCCTGGCTGAACAGAATACCATTTCTTAGGCCTGAGTATGCCTCTCTTGCCTCAGTGAGAGCCAACTTAGTCTTACTTGGTCATCCAAGGACACAAAGATGTTCAACAATCTGTCATACACTCTGCATGTTTACAGTGAGAGCAGGTAACAGCTAAATGTCATTCAGCCTCTTCTAGGTTACTTGTTATCCCTGAGCATACCTTTCATATTTTAGCTTTTGTTCTCTTGCTCAGGTTGTTTTCACCACCTAGAATATCCTCTTCTGCCATCTCTATGGAATAAAGCTCTACCCATCCTGAAAGGCAGAGGTCACATGCCACCTCTTCTATAGGATGCTTTCTCTATCACTCCTCTGGGCCTTGGAAGCACTGTGTACCTCTCTAAAACACTCATTTTATCCTGTTAGGACAGAATGTGATTCATCAAGGTCTTCCTACAAAATCCAGCACAGCACTGGCACAAAGTAGATATTTCCTTAATATATTTAATGAATGAATGCCATATCTGGCTGGACTAAAATACAAGACTGTTTCATATCTCAATACCAGTAGAAATAGTGGAGGTGCTGCCTTGCAGGTGTGCCTAGGAGGCCCCAGGATCTCAGCACAGCCACTTCAACAGCTTTGGGATCCACAGTATAGCAGTACCCCTTTTCTACAAAGAACTCACAGAGAGGAGGCCCAAAGAGCACTGTGTCCAGGGCTTTGAGCTGCAGCTTCTGACGATGGCTCCGGTCTGTCATCTTCAACACAGTCCCTGTCATGGTGGTATTGGTTACAGCTAGCCTGTTGAGACAAAGAGTAGGGTATTAGTTCCCTGACACCAAAGCCAGGAAGGATCCTGGTAGGATTACCCACCTCCTCCAGGAATACTTCTAGCTCTTGGTGACTGCTCTCCTCTGCACTCTAGAACAGAGAGTCTACACCACTGGCATCTCAACAGGGAGTATGGAGGAACATATAACATTTACCAAGAATTTGCTCACCCTCTCTTCCCACATCCACCATCTCCTAAGTAGCCTACCCTTTAAGGATTATCCATTTGTGACCATTCCCACACCCAGCTGTAAATTTTCTGTTGTGCTTCTCCTTCCAAGGATTATCCTCTCTATATCTGTCCCCACCTCCCACCACGTGTAAAATGTATTCTCCCATCCAGCCCAGGTCAAAATGTCATGCCATATGACCCAGTGACTCTGGGGACTTCTAAATTATCCTAATCCTAACCCATTTCATTATATATAAACCTGTTGGTCATAAAAATTGAATGAGTCCTGTTTCTTGTATTTGAGTCACTGTAATACAATTTACCCCTGGTAAGATTACTGTAATTTTTATGACCTTCAACCATACTGCCGATGATAATTTTAATAAGAGTGCCTGTCATAATAAGAAAATGTCCTAAGAAAAACTGGACTTTGTTTCTCTTCTGCTGGAACACAGTGGGTATAGGAGGAGAGGGGTATAAGATATGAAAGGTTGAAAACCACTGGCCCAGGTCCAGCAAGTGAGTATTTAATACTATAATACTGTGTAAGGTTGGTAGTCTTTCCTAATGCATAGCTTTATTTCCCCAGCTAGAAAAAGCTTCTGACATTACAGTGTGTGATTTATACTCCTGCCTGAACTCACAGGAGCAGCTGCTTCCTTCTCTAGCCTTGGAAAGCAATCAAGCCCACTTACAAAAGAGGCAGTGAGGTACTGTGATCAGAGATGTCAGGAGATCTGGCTTCTCATCTCAGCTCTATCAGTGACTTACTTATCTGATCATAAACTTCTTGGTCCCTCAGTTTCCTTCTGTGTAAACCTCTGTAAAATCAGATGCTTCCTATAAGACTGGAAGCTCCTAGAGCTCCTCTTTAGAACACTTCTGCCAGGTGTGCTGGACTTCTCTGACTGATCAAAATAAACAGTGTCATCTTTTCTACAGTCTGTTTCTCAAAGACACCTACAAACTGGAATGTTATCTACTTCTATTCAATGAGAGAAATGAGAAAGGAACTAACATTTACTAAGCAAGTACTGTGTGTCCAGCATTGTTCTGACACTTTACATACAATACCTCATTTAGTCCTCACAACAACCTTAGGCTAATTTTAAATAAGCCTCAGTTCTATTATTTGCTCCACTTTACAGATAAGAAAACAGAGACTGAGAGTTGAGTAACTTGCCCAAAGTCACACACAAGTAAGTGGCAAAGCCAGGGAATGAACTCGAACCTACCAGATTCTTCCCATTATACTATGCTGGCTAGTGATGGGCCTAGAACCACCCCACTCCAACCCATGCACTAAAGGCTGCAATCTTCCTGCTGTCACTAAAGTGCCACAGCTTGGCATCCTTTACTCCCATCCCCAGTTTGGCTGAACCTAGTCTTGGCTCTAATCCGAGCCACAGGAGGGCTAAGTGAACCCATGACCTGAGAACTGACTTCTTATCCTATGCTTTGCGGTTTCAATCCAAGCCACAGCCATTCCCCATAATGAAACGGCCCAGGGATCCACAAGGTAATATTGCTGTTTCCATGGGTAGCATGGAAGAAACCTAAATCCTGGATCTTAATGGTCAATCATCTATTCAGTTGTCTGTCTCTTCCATTAAACATGGAGTTCCTCAAGGCAGGGGTCAAGGTTTGGTGCATCCCTTTGTCCGCAGGACCCAGCAGAGAGCATGGCACATAGCAGGTACTTAGTAAAGCTTTGTTAAATAGAACTAAACTGTTTTTTTTATTTTTTTGGTGGCTGGCAGATACAGGGATCGAACTCTGGACCCTGGTGTTATCAGCACCAGCTCTAACCAGCTGAGCTAACCAGCCACACCCAGAAGTAAACTGAATATTACAAGGAAGCCTATCTTTACCACATGGCTCAAGAGGAAGATGCAGTGAAAAAAAGCAGAGCACTGTGAACCAGGCAGACTTGGGTTCAAATCCCAGCTCTGCCACTTACCAGATTGGATAAAATATAAAATATTTGAGACTCAGTTTGCTCACCCAAAAGTTGGGATGGTAGTAATTCCTTCCTCCCAGAATTGTGAGAATCAACTGAAATAATAGGTAGGAAAGCACTCTACAAAGGGAGGTACAAACATTAAGATTATTACTCTATTCAGAGTAGGGAGAAGCTGTGAAGAGGAGGCTGCAGGCAGCAGAGGAGGGAACAGCCAGCTCAGCTAGGCCTGGACAGCAGTGCCTGGTAGCTCTGTGGCTGAAGACTGCAATGTGTGGGCATTCCAACAGCTTCACTTTCCCCTTTCCCCTTTGCTGAAGCTCATAACCAGATGCACCTACATAATAAGATGACAGATTATATATAATCAGCACTTACCAGACAGTAAGCCCTTTGAGGGCAAGGGCAGGTTGTTGTCATCTTTATCCCCAGCACCCAGCACAAGTGCTTGGCACAGAGCAGGTACCCAGTAAATATTTGTTAAATGAATAAGTAAATGGATTAATGACTGAATGACATATGGCACTAGTTTGACATAACAAGAAGTCCAAGCAGTACTCCAACCCCTCCCCACTCCCAGCCCAGGCCCTAGCATATTATGCCTATAAAGGAGGCGAAGAGTTATGACACAACAACTGTTGGAGGAGTCATCACGGAGATGAGGCTGGAACCAAAGACTGTCAGTCCACACCTCTGTACCATTTTTGTTAGAGTAGATAAACTGTACATGGGTATCCCAGGGGAGGCTAAAAGAGCCCTGAGGCTCTTGGGTGATAAAAGAGGCAACTGCTGAGGGGACAGCAAAAGAAAACAGAAACACCACAGGCTTTGAAGCCTACCCAAATCTACATTCAAATCACAGTTTTGTCCCTAACTAGCCATGTCTGTGACCTTGGAAAAGTTACTTAACCAGTTTCATCATCTATATATGACAATACCCGCCTTACAGGATTGATGTAAGACTTAAATGAGATACTGTATATAAAGTATTGAGAACAGTGCCTGGCATGTACTAAGTACTCAATAAATGGCAGCTATTTGTACTATTCCCAGGATTGATAGGAATATTAAATAATAGAATGGTGCCCATCATGCTTTATAGCAAGTGCAATAGATAAGAGAAGACAGGAGGTCTATAGACTCTGCCCTGAAAAGGGTGGAATGTCATTTAACTGGCCAGAGCAACATGAAGGTAGACCTACCCCAGCCCATTCCCTGCACCCCCAAGTGAGAAAAACCCAGTCCCCTCCTGACCTTGGCATAGCATGGCCACTGAGCTGTAGCTTCCGGAAGGTGTCCTCATACTGAGGCAGCTCCACATATGTTATCAGCCACTGCACCACCTCATCCACGGTCCAGTTGTATACTGTGGAAAGAGACAAGCAAAGCCATGACTCCAGAATACCAAGCACCACTTGCACTTATTGTTGTCATGGTCATATTGACATTAACATTTACTACATATGTTTGTGTATTTAAACATTACTCTCTCCCATAAAATCCCAAGTATGAAAGGAGTATACAATGAATGAGTCTATTTATATAAAACCCTAGGAAAGACAAATCTATAGTTATACAAAACAGATCAATGATTAGCTGGAGCCAGGAGTAGGGGCTGGGGACTGACTGGGAAGCAGCATAGAACAACATTTTGTGATGACAGAAATATTCTGTATCTTGAATGTGGTGGTGGTGGTTATACAAGTGATAACATCTGTCAAAATTCATCAAACTGTACAGTTAAAATAGGTGTATCTTAACACATGTTCCCTGAGAGCTGGGGAGGGCCATGGTAAGTGCTTCTGTACCATCCTGTCTCACCCTGTTGTCTTCCTTCTCCCCACCTAGCCCTGGAGGCTGCCTGTATTTGTGCCAACAAGTACATGGTAAAAAGTTAGGCAAATATGGGCCGGCCCGGTGGCGCACTGGATAGTGCGCCGCTTGGGAAGCGCGGAGGCGCTCCCGTCCCAGGGTTCGGATCCCACATACAGACCGGTTCCCGCTCACTGGCTGAGCGAGGCGCGGGAGCAACACCGAGGCTTGCAATCCCGTTGCCGGTCCTGGTCCGGTACGGGGGCAACACTGAGGGTTGCAATCCGTTGCCGGACACGGAAAAAAAAAAAAAAAAAAAAAAAAAAAAAAAAAAAAAAAAGTTAGGCAAATATGATTTTCATATCCAAGTGCAGCTCCACCTCTTCCATTACATCCTCATCAAGAAGATGCTGTCCTGTGCTGGGGCTGATAGGCTCCAGACAGGTATACAGGGTACCTTGAAAAGCCCCAGGATAGAGTGGCCAGGGTTCACACTGGCCAAGTCATCATGTCTATCTGCACCAAGCTGCAGAACAAGAAGCATGTTAGTAAAGCCCTACATAGGGCCAAGTTCCCTGGCCACCAGATCTCAAAGAAGTGGGGCTTTACCAAGTTTAACGTGGATGAATTTAAAGACATGGTGACTGAGAAGCAACTCATCCCCGATGGTTGTGAGGTTAAATACATCCTCAACCACAGCCCCCAGGACAAGAGGTGGGCCCTGCACTTGTGAGCGCTTCCACTGTACTGTCCCCTCCTTACTTATGCCCACTAATAAATCCTACTTCCTGTCAAAAAAAAAAAGTAAAATAAAATAAAATAAAATAGATGTATCTTCTTGTATGTAAATTATACTTCAATAAAGTTGATTTTTAAAATATTTGTTTAAACTGTAGGGCCGGCCCGTGGCTCACTCGGTAGAGTGCGGTGCTGATAACACCAAGGCCCCGGGTTCGGATCCCACATAGGGATGGCCAGTTCGCTCACTGGCTGAGCGTGGTGCTGACAACACCAAGTCAACGGTTAAGATCGTGCTGACAACACCAAGTCAACGGTTAAGATCGTGCTGACAACACCAAGTCAACGGTTAAGATCGTGCTGACAACACCAAGTCAACGGTTAAGATCGTGCTGACAACACCAAGTCAACGGTTAAGATCCCCTTACCGGTCATCTTTTTTAAAAAAAATTAATAAACTGTAAATGTGCCCAAGGTTGAGAATTAACTGTCTATCCGTCCATCCATCCATCCAACTATCAAACTAAAGCATTCATAAAAGTCCCACTTAGTACCAGCCTGCAGGAAGTTAGTTCCTAATCCAGTGGAAGAGATAAAGAACTAAATAGCATCAGTGAAGCTTGGACTCTGATAAAGAAATATATGAGGAACACAGAGGAGAAAAGGAGTAACTGCCTAGGGGTTCAGGTTTTAGCCTCAGAGAAAATGATGAACTTCAACATAAAAGATTAGGAGGAACTCATCTGAAATATTTTATGGATGGGAAGGAGGAAAGCACTCAATATAGAAAGAAGGCAAGTGCAAAGCAAAGATGTGAATTTTGATGTGTCAAGAATATAGAATATATAGAAGGCAATAGCAGAAGAAAGTTTTAGCCACATCATGAAGGGTCTTCAGTGCCATGCTAAGACAGCTACTAGTATTGTCCTGGGATGAGCGGCCTGCCTCAGTTTGCTTGGGCCAGTCAAATGAGGTCCAACCCTTTTCAGGGCAGAATCTATAGACCTATATTCTCACATCTATTGTGCACTTGGTATAGAGCACTTTGGGCACTCTGCATCCATTCTCTTATTTAATGTTGCTATTCAGAGCTGTACTGTTCAAGCAGTAGTAGCCAGTAGCCACAAGTGGCTATTTAAATTTAAATTTATTAAAATTAAATTAATTAAAAACTCAGTTCCTCAGGGGCCAGCCCGTGGCTCACTAGGGAGAGTGCGGTGCTATATAGGGATGGCCGGTTCGCTCACTGGTTGAGCGTGGTGCTGACAACACCAAGCTAAGGGTTGAGATCCCCTTACCGGTCATCTTTAAAAAAAAAAAAAAACTCAGTTCCTCAATGGCACCAGCCATATTTCAAGTGACCAATAGCTAGATGTGGCTAGTGGCTACCATATTGGACAACACAAATTATAGAACATTTCCATCATTATAGAAAGTTCTGTGGAGAGCACTGGTCAAGATAATTTACTATAATAATGTTTCAATTTTATATTTTCATTTTGAAGATAATCTAAAAGTAAAAACAAAATAAAAGTATATTCTGGATCACCTATATACATACATGAGCATACAGACTCTCAATTTCAATACCCATATTGTATTCATGAGTAGTTTTTGTTGTTTCGTTATTGTTTTTGGTGGCTAACTTGCACAGGGATGAAATCCTGGACCTTGGTGTTATCAGCACCACACTGTAACCAACCAAGCTGACAAACTAGCCCACATTTGTGTTTATATTGTGTTAATGCAAAATTGTTACAATAGGAGATATTTGTCTGAAATTTTAGGACACGATGTGCTTCACATCAATAATATATCTTGAATTTAGATAATTTTTGTTTGAATTCAGATATTTTAACACAAAAGAACCCAGAGATCAAAACCGATGATTTTACACAAAATATACATTCATAATTGCAATTCAAATTTTCAATACAAATGTTACCCACTGAAAGATATAAACCACCAAGAACTGTCCCAGTTGCTGCATCCCCAGAAAGACTGCCATAACATTACGTGATCACCTATTATGACCTATCTGATAGAACTATCATGGACATGGGTCATTTTTACCAACAAGCATCCACTTCTTCTTTTGGTGGCAATAGTACTCTGAATTTGTGTTAAGGGAACCACCCCTCCCTTGCTCTCAGCTAACAGCCTTCAGGTAAAGCTAATTTTAAATAAGCCTCTAGAAGTAAAGTATGTAACCCAAGCTAAGCCAATCAGTTCATTCTATCTTCCTGCCCATAGTACTTGTTTTAGGGGTGAGCACATAACCCAAGATGAGGGCTGAAGAAACTAAATTCCAGGATTTTTGTTTGACTCATAGGAGACTGGTTTGCTGTCACACTATACTAGTGTCTGGGATGAAATGGTCCTGAACTATAATATTAATAATAACAATAATAATATTAATAAAGCCATCACTTATATAGCACTTACTATTTGATGTTACTGTTCTAAGCACCTCACACATATGAGGATACTTCAAAAAGTTCGTGGAAAGATTCATATTATATTTTAACTCTATTTTTCCACAAACTTTTTTTTTTTTTAAATGACCAGTAAGGGGATCTTAACCCTTGACTTGGTGTTGTTAGCACCACACTCTCCCAAGTGAGCTAACCGGCCACCCCTATATAGGGATCTGAACCCATGGCCTTGGTGTTACCAACACCACACTCTCCCAAGTGAGCCACGGGCCAGCCCTTCCACAAACTTTTTGAAGTATCTTCGTATTAACTCACTAATCTTCACTGCCATCATGTGAAATAAATATCCCATTTTATCCCCATTTTAAAGCTGAAGAAACTGAGGCACAGAAAGGTTATATAACTTTTCAAAGTTACCCAGCCAGGAATTGGTAAAGCCAAGATTTGGTGTCAGGCATTCTGGCTCCATTGACCATGTTCTAAGCTTATAGAGAGAGATATGTCTTCTCTGGTGCTCCTGGAAGCCTTCAAATAGAGGCAAAGCTGAGCCAAGAGATAGATCCAGATGACATCATTTAAGCCCTGAGTAAGATCATGCCTGTAGACAGCCCTATTCATAGATACTTCGCTTTTACACAACAAGTAAATTTCTCCTTTTGCTTATATCAGATTGAGAGGATTTTCTGTCATAACAGGAGCCAATTCTAACTGAAACAATTACTGAGTGATCACTCACAACATGGCAAATCACATCATCACTATACGTGGAGCACTGTAGCTAATCACTCCTCAATATTATAATGTTGTGATTTTTTTTTTTTTTTTTTTTAAGATGACCGGTAAGGGGATCTTAACCCTTGACTTGGTGTTGTCAGCACCACGCTCAGCCAGTGAGCGAACCGGCCATCCCTATGTGGGATCCGAACCCGGGGCCTTGGTGTTATCAGCACTTTTTTTTTTTTAAAGATGACCGGTAAGGGGATCTTAACCCTTGACTTGGTGTTGTCAGCACCACGCTCAGCCAGTGAGCGAACCGGCCATCCCTATGTGGGATCCGAACCCGGGGCCTTGGTGTTATCAGCACTGCACTCTACCGAGTGAGCCATGGGCCGGCCCATAATGTTGTGATTTTTTAAATGGATAATCATAAGTGTCCCTTTTTTTGGCAGCTGGCTGGTATATCATAAATTGTCCTTTTAAAATAATTTTGATATCTATGTGGTACTTAAGCACATAGAAAGCAAATTTATCTCTATACTTTGTCAACAGTCAATTATAAAGAAATAGAAGTAGGGCCGGCCCGGTGGCACACTCGGTAGAGTGCGGCGCTTGGGAGTGTGGCGGCGCTCCCGCCGAGGGTTCGGATCCCATATAGAGACCG